AGATTCGCCCGCCATCTGTCGGACGTGGCGCCAACCTTCCTTCGACGCCATCTTTGAGGCGACTGGCAAAGCGCTGTTGCCATTTGCGGCTCGTGAAAGCGTCGCGCAGCGAACGCACGGGTGCTTTCTATCGCTACGTATTCCATGAGGAAATAAAATTAGAAACAACCGATGTAAAGATTCGGATCGTATTGTTTTTTTCTTTTCAAGTTAAATGTATTATAGCCAACGTTTGAGCGCTTTCCTGTACATTTCATGCTCCGAAAAAGAGCACCCGAGCCTGAGTGTTGCGTGCTTTTACAGGGCTCCTAAACTTTTTCTTAATATATGGCATTTTCCACAATGGCATGAAGGGCTCATGATATTTGTATGTAACATCAGCGAGCATCTATTATTTTATGTGATTTTTTTGCGAGCTTGATGTTGGCTAGCATCGTAGCTTCGCTTGCGCAGAGCAACAGCGAGGTCCAGTCAACATCACTCAAACACACTGTTTTGCGTGTTTTTTTTTCCTCACTCAAGTAGGTTTTGCACACCCGATTGAATGCTGATGCAAAGTGCAGAAGAGCTAGGCGACGTACCAACTTGGTTTTGCACATGAATGATAAAGGCAACGGTTTTAAAAAGCAAAAGTGAACGCTCGCTTACTTTACGCTGCATCATTATTTTCACGTGACCCTCACATTTCGAGAAACATTTTCGAGATGTTTAGTCGAAAGCATAAAAGCGGGCTCTTCTTGACTGCTAAGCTAGACATTTTGGCGAGTTTAACAGTCGCGCTTGCTCGCTTCCCAACAGATCAAGTTCTCGCTGCAGGAGGAGCTCTTTTTTTGTAGCCAGTACTGTAAGAATGCACTTTTATGAACACTGGTCATATTCTATTGCGAGTAAGCATGAAATTTTAAAGCGCGCTGAGCTATGTGACCGCGCTATCAGGAGCCGAGCACATTAAAATGTCGCTGACATGTATTTATGCATTTTCTCTTAAGGGGGGCGAACAGTATATAGGCGCAAGTACTGAATTTATCTGTTAATATTATTATTATTATGATTATAAACGAAAAATATTTCAGCTTTCCGTAGAATAGTTTTTATTTTATTTTAACCGTTATATTTTGCGTACTTGCACCGCGGTTACACGCCGGTCAGTTCCTTTTACGCTTTTGTGCCTCGCATACACTTGTGCGAGTATGCTAGTGTAGATCTTCAGCGTAGTTTGTTTTTGCCTGCAATTAAAAATACTACTGTCGTAAATTTATGCTGTATCACACGCACTCCCTATAGTGATGTTTTCAGCAACCATTTGTTGATCTCTCCAAGGAGCTGAATACAAATTTATTTAATAAATTTAATTCCATGATTCTGTTTTAAGGAATTATATTTGCAATATTCCTAAGGTTAAGACAACGGGGAACCAAGATTAAACGTTCAATACCCCCATTGTAGAACCCTACAATGCGGGTCTGCACACGCTGGGTCAAGGCGCACTGGGTGAAGAACTGCTCGCATTCTTTCGACACACATCCGCGAATGCCAAATAAAAACAAACTGTCACACAGGGGTTGACAGTCCTGCTAAATATACCATGCAAATCGTCCTTGTGTGAAAAGGCATAACCAGCTGATCGGGAAAGTTAATGCATGATTCTAAAACAAGTGCGCCAGTCGGCCTGCTCTGGTGCTGAAATGAAGCTCATTTCGCTTCATTCCAGCACTTGCGTTTAATATTCGTAACTTATTCTCGAGCGCCTGACACCATCAATATGCTAATAAAACACACACACAAAAAAAGAAAAGAAACAACACAAGAACATGCAGGAACGCTACGCGGGGAGAGGGGCTCGTATTGCTCTACTGCCATGTGCGTCGGGAACGCTGGAGAAGCCTGAAAGATGGCGCCGTGCCCCTGATAGTACCCGTGGCCGCCGAGAGCTGGCGCTAATAATGAATAAGAATAAGTGTATAGAAATAGCGCAAAAAGAAGACAGACAGCTCTGGCTGGCATTTCTGGATATCAAGGGTGCCTATGACAATCTGAACCAAAGGAACCTGTGGGACATAGTGGAGTGCTTAAACCCAGATGAAGGACTAACAGCAGTATTAAGGAACATTTACAAAGATAATAAGATGATTATAACATATGGGAAGGAAAGGCGACAGGGAAAATAGAGATAAGACGAGGCCTTAGGCAGGGGTGCCCGTTATCGCCTTTGCTGTTTATGTTGTATCTGAGAGGATTGGATCGATAGACTAGAGAAGAGTGGGCTTGGATTCGACATTTCGTACAGTAAGCTAGGCCAAAAAATTCAGCAATCCTTACCGGGATTAATGTATGCGGATGATATCGTACTAATGGCTAACAACAGGACAGAGTTGCAGGAATTAATAAGCATCTGTGGTAGGAAAGGAGAGGAATTAGGTTTAGAATTCAGTAGTGAAAAATCAGCAGTCATGATTTTTAACGATGATGAAGTTGAGAGGCTGAAGATACAGAATATTGCAGTTGAGAGAGCTAGTAAATACAAGTATCTAGGAGTATGGATATGTGATGGTGCAGAATACCTCAGTGAGCATGAAAAGTATATAATAGGTAAGGGCAACAGAAATGCAGCGGTTATATAAAATATAGCACTTTGGAATTACAAAAGGTATGAGGGGGTGAGAGAGATTTAGAAAGGGGTCATGGTGCCTGGCTTGACTTTTGGAAACGCAGGACTATGCATGAAATTCGAAGTGCATGCAAGACTAGAAATAAAACAGCGTGGAGTAGGTAGGCTGGCTTTCGGGGCACATTGCAGAAAGCCAAACCAGGGAGTACAAGGAGACATGGGATGGGCGTCATTTGAGAGCAGGAAAGCGGTGAGCTAGATAGAATTTGAGGATCGGTTGAGGCAAATGAATGGGAAGCCATGGGCACTAAAGATTTTCAGCTATTTATACACGAGGAGTATAGACACAAAGTGACGACAGCGCACTAGGAAATTAAGAAAAAAGTTTTTAGGCTATAGTGGAGTTACGGAAGAGCAGGTCTCAGTTAAGAAAGTTAAGGCCACAGAAAGAGATCGGTGGCTAGAGGGAATGCAGACAAAGACGGCTCTAGAAAGCTATAGATTAAACAAAACAGTTATTGCCAAAGAAAGCATATGACAATTCTAGGGGAAGCTCATTTTTGTTTGAGGCGAGGACGGGTGTTCTGCGAACCAGAAAATACAAAGCGAAGTACCAGGAAATAAATACAGTGTGCACTGCTTGTGGAGAGGAGTACGAGACGGCGGAGCACTTGATACTCTACTGCAAAGGGCTTCACCCCATGCTTACCGAAGACAACATAGATTTAGTAAAGTCATTGGGTTTTAGAGGCAGCGAAGGAAGAGTGGATTTCAAGACAATAGAGATTACCAAACAAAGATTAAGTGAATGGTGGCAGAAAGAGAGAGAGAACTAGGTATTTTCTTATTAACTGATGGCAAGGGGGTTTTATAGCCTCACTTTATTTGCAGTGCGGAGTGAATATAGTTTTCGCACTTAAATATTCTAAGCTTAAATGGTAAAACAGAATGGCTAATTGGCGTAAGCTACCGCCCGATCCAAAGGACTCAGCCGGATTCATTCATTCATCCATCCATCGTCTATTTGGTTCTCGAATACGGATCGACGCCGCTTTTTCAGAGCAGGCTCTTTGACAGTTTCCCAACTGACTTGCTCTAGTAACGTTAATCGGTGTCGACTCCGTGGTTATACCTCCTGCAGACAGAGTGGCCTTTCTACGGACCTTGTAGGGACTCCCTGTAGACCTCGTATGACTTTTCTTGTAAGGACCCCGTGTGAACCCTGTATGGCTTCCCTGTGGACCCCGTAAAAACTCCCTGTGGACCTTGTATGCTTTCTCTTTAGGCACATTATAGACACCGTAAAGACCCTAGGTAGACCACTTACAGAGTCTGCATGGACTCTATATGGTGTTTTACTATAGGGACGGTATAGGATGACCATACATCGTCAATAGAGTAGGACGTTCCTAGAACGTCCGTTGGCCAATATTCTATAGGGCAGCCATAGGACGACTTCACGAAGGAAACAGCAGTCGTGGACTCTTTATAGGTGCCTTATGTTCTGCCTATAGACGCTGCTCTATAGAACGTCTTAGGAGTGTCCATACATATCTTTGTAAGGGCCCCTGGACCAGTGGATTGCAGGCATCAGGGAAGTTGAAGCCTCAGCCACAAGAAACATTCCCGAGGAAGCAAATCTGACCGCGGCGGACAGTCAGCTCGTGCACCATATGGGAAAAAAGGCCGTTTTACGCGGGATGAATTTTTCTGGGCAGAGTTAAATTTAAGGGTGCATGAATTCTAAACACGCTAGTCGGAATGTCGTCCTTTGTTCCAGCACTTGATGTCCGTAGCCGGCTCAAGCTGCCTTTGCATTCAGATTACCAGTCTAACAGGATTTCATATAGAAATTTGCACAAACTTTTTGTTGCCTTTTATTTTCTTGAACGCCTAATTTTCGAGGCTTGCTCAGGACGTTTTTTTTTTTTTTTTTTTATTTGTAAAAATGAATCATATTAGAAATACTTTTTTCCATCAGGCATGCGGGAAGTGATGCATGCTCAATTTGGAACGCCCCGCAGTACCCAACACAGTAAGGGAATGATTAATTAACCCCAAACCTGATGAGGTTTCATTTGGGTCTGCTGTGGGCTTCCCAACTAGGCCCTGTGGGCTTCCCAACTAGGCCCTGTGGGCACCACAAGGGGAGCCCTGGTTAGATGCCCAAGTGGTACCCATAATTTGCCTCGCAAAACATAAGGGAATCGTGTCAAAGCTGGTTCTTTTAGAATTCCCGCAAATACCTTGGGGACAATGTTTTATGTAACCTTGTTCATTTTACAAGTAACACTTGAGAAGCACAATCCATGCGAGCGTCGCGGCGCATGCTTCGACGATTGCTGTGCGGGTACGGTCATGACAATTTATTTCGGGATTTCCCATTGCCTATCTGAATAATGATTTTGATTACTGTGTATGACATCATGATCGGTATAAGAATTACGTGCCCGGGTTCTCTAACAGTGAACATATAGAAGATACAGCTGAACTTCGTTGGATTGCTGAAGAGACACAAAAAGATCGGTATACTGAAGTTGACGTCTTCATCGAGCAGCCGAGTCCAGACACCCGCACATTCGACGGCTATTTGCTTGGCTCTTTTTGGGAGTTGCGAATTCTTCCCTTCAGCTAAATCCCGACGCCGATGGCTTCATATTCTTTCCAACCTGACCCAAACTCCCTCCTCGCAGTAAGCGATAATCACCGGTGAAACGTAGTTTAGAGTCCTCTGAAAAAAAGGCAATAAATACAATAAACTTAAGAGCTGCATCTCCGACAATTCGCGAACAATACGTCCTGCGAATAATTTGGGTAAAATGTAAAGCATTGGGTTCTATATTGAGATCCCACCACGTCGCAAAAATTAGAACCCGCGAATTATTCTAAGACTTCAGCTTTATCTAAATCACGAAATAATGAGCCCCCGAAAAATAAGTCGTTTAAAGTGGACAAACACAAATCTCCAAACACAGCTAGGTGACTGGTGAGCGACCGAAAAAATCCGCCTGGTCCGGGTATCGAACCCGGGACCTCTCCATTACAAGTGGAGCGCTCTACCAACTGAGCGAACCAGGGGGGCCTCGAGTTTTTTTTAAAGGGACACGACACCCCCCAAAAACGTTTCTTTTTTGTCATTTCTTGCCAGATAATTTAAAATGGTGTCGGGAGATTACCCAATCAATAGTTTGCTGCAGAGCCACATATATTTTCATAAAGCAAAAAAAAAAACAAAAAAAAAACACTCAACTTCTCTAAATTGGAACACAAGCACAGAAACTCATGGCCGGAAGTCACATGACCAAACCCGACGGCGTTTTTTTTTTTTTTTTTTTCTCTTCTTCTCCAGCTTGTGAAGCAACGGTCGACAAGGTCGAAATTGCGTGTACCGTTTGTCGAGCGCTTGTTTCGCTCTTAAATCCCTCCCGTCCGATGTTCTGTGCCTGATGAACGATTGGCCTATACCATATGAACTAGAGCTCCGAAGTAGGGGCCCCACGTCCGCGGCAATATTAATCCTCGTGCGCCGCCATGGCGTCGTCCAGCCCGCGGTACGTCACCATGTTGAGAATGGCGTGTACATGTACTTCCTGTGATCTGTGAAACATTTTGTTTTCGATCAATGTATTTGCAGCTTCTTGGGGACCACCAACATGAAGTTCGTATTCTTTTCTATTTTTAATACCGAATGTGTACCCTAGATTACCCGCGACTTTGACTATAGTTTGTACACATAGTCTGAACGCATGGGTGTACAAACCGGGAAGGGGGGGGGGCAGGGGGGCGCTTGCCCCCCCCCCCCCCCCATTCAAAAGCAAGTTAATACGCCGCTGTTTGAACGCCCCTTGACCATTGAAAAGTGAGTGAGCCAGACTGAAACCGGGCAATTCTCAAACGGCTGTTTTCGGGCGGAAAGAAAACGAATTTCGAGCCAAAAATTGTATTCTGGATAGTTGGGCTCTAGTCATGTTAAAATAGAAGCTCGGCGAGCATAAATACCCTGACTGTGACCCTCCAAGCTGCCATTTACTTAAACTCATGAACATTATGGGGAGACATACCGCACGCCCTTCTTACTAGCAAAGCTGTATATTGGCCGACTGGTGAGTACTCTTTTCCGAGTGCCCCGCACGGTGTTTGTGAAAGTCCAGGGTCCGATCAAGTAACCTAAACCCGGTCTTTTGGCCGGCCCAAATAAAGTTCAAGCATCGCAGAAAGCTGAAACACCGCGAGAATGAGACGTTAGAGATGTGGTGATTAAAATCACAGAGTTTAAGAACACGACGTTAAATGGATCAACCGAAACGAGAAAAAAATTACATTAAGGAGTGAGTGGCATTTATATAAGTAAAGATAGTTTGTCAACAACAAAGCTGATACTATTACCCAATTAGCACACTTCCTCGGCCCAGGTTTGGGCCAGACTGGCGTGAGCTAGTGCCAACTTGGCTCAAGCCTGGCCCAAGCTTCCGCCAAATTGGCCCAAGCAGGAGCCAGGTAAGTGTGCCGCTAGGGTTTCTTAGCGATAAGTTGCTTTCAATAAATAAATGCGACCTGTGTCGGTTCACGTGACGTCGGTCTACCCGCTATATTTCGGGGGGAAATGCCACAGACGCACACACGGACAGAAGACTTTTAGTGACTGTAGTCATGGACTGGAAAACGCAGGACGTGGTCAGTCCCGAGCATCTTGTTACCCATCCGCAACCAATCAGGTTCCGTCATTAACCGATACGAACGCCGAAGAAGCAATCATGAAGCAAGGTGCATAAACAAAATGAACCACACTCTGCGTTATTTTTTTTTCTTCTGTTTGCTGTCACTGATTTTAGGTGGGTCCGTTAAAAAGTATAGCACCTTGTTTTCAGATAACTCCTCTTATTAAAACCGACTCGCCTTTTCTGGTTCGTCGCAGAGATGCAGCTTGAACTTGGCCACAGTCTTGGCAATGACAAGCGAGAGCTCAAATTCCGCGAGCCGGGATGCGGGGCAGTTGCGAGTTCCGATGCCGAAAGGGATGTACGCCATTGGCTCGGTCGTCGACTTGTTTTCGGGACTGAATCTGATCATGAAAGAGGGAAAGGAGACGAGAACACGTGGGGTTGACGTTAGGGCACCGAGCTCTGGCTGGAATGATTAGCGGGTAGGAGCATAGCCTCCTCTATACTGACAAAGCCTGTCAGATCGCCACGAGAAGCGGCCGCCGAAATAGAAAAGGTGGAGCGACAGACAACGGATCAGTGGACAGCCACGTGACTGGCGCCCCGCTGCGGCGAGACGCCGAAACGCAGCGTCTTGCCGGTGCGGTGAGACGCGAGGACTTGAAAGTGTGTTTCGGGTCCTCGCCGCTGCAAAACTCTGTGCGCGTACGTCCAGGTTCTCCGAGAAATGACTGTTTATATTCTGTGCCACCAGATCCTCGAGCTCCAAATCTGCGACTGGCCACTCTATGGCTCCATCGTCGAACTACCAGGCTTTGTGAGTATATAGAGGAGGCTATGGTAGGAACAAAGCTGACTTCCTTTGTCTCGACTTCATGTCCGAACGCGAAGGCCGACGTCCGGCGTTCAGCGTTCGCGTTCGAACAGCGAGTAGACGTCGGTGCCACCCTTGCTCAAGAAGCAGACGGACTTGCGCTACGTATTACTCGCTATTTTTTTCTCAATTATGCGTTATTTTGTACAGACTGACCGCTGAAGCACGTGTTGCGCATTTTGTATAACAGGGTCCGTAGGGTTTCGTAGCACAATCCTGACACGAAAAACCCCAATCCCGCAGTTGCACTCCGTTTCACTTCGGGTCCCGAGAGCAACCGACGCGGTCATCTGATGTAGCCGATCGAGCAACGCCAAAAGGGCAAAGTCGCGCCGCTCGTCGCCTTCGTGTCTGCTAGGAGGGGCGAAACCAATCGCGCAAAGTAAATGCCCTTGATCTCGCGCTTTTAATAGCGAAAGTATTCACTGGTCCCATGGAGCGAGCCGACGTCATCAGTTTGAAGCGCGAAAACGGCACCTCGTTTCCCCGATCCCAGAGGAGCGAAGTAAAGCTGATGGATTTCGCCTTCGGTTCCATTGCCTGACGCGCGTCGACGGGGCTCTCATTGGCCGCTCCGCTCGTCAGTTTCCACGACCGCTCACCCCATGGCGCTGCGTGTACATTAGCGCGCCGTTAACACGGAGCGTCCAAAGGTCAGCGTGCTCAGGGAGACACGCGCGCTGACCGGCGACGAAAAATACGCAGCAGACGACAAAGGGAGGGAGCGAGCGGCTTGCATGCTTTCGCATTCACAACTCCTAAAAATCCTCAAGTGTACCTCGGGATGTTTTTTGTTGTTTTTTTTTCTTTTTCTATGCGTGATTGGCTTAGCCGGCGATAGCAAACCCATGAAGATGACGAGCACCGCGACTGTGCCCTTTGGGTGCTACATGATTGTCACCAACATCGATTTGTTGCTCTGTATGCGCTCGGACTTGGAGTGAAACAGAGTATAGATGGGTATTCGATTGGGGAGGATCCTGATGATTTATTTGGACAGTGATCCGTGTTCTCTTGTAAATGATGCTCCGCGTGGTGGAATGTGCTTCCAGGTTACCTCCGATTGGATAGACTGCGCCTCGGTGTTCATAGAAAAAGAAAAAAAAAAAAGCCAAGAGAGATAGTGACGTTGTGCGATGTTTAGCAGGCTTCACCATGTACGAGACGTCCTACCTGGAGTTTATATCCAAACTCTGTCAATCTTTCTGTTTCGGTGACTTTGTAAACTTTGTTTCCACATCATCGGAACGTTTTCTTCGTGTGCACATTTCGTGTCGCGCGGCTCGTAAGCTGTGAGTGATTGATTCTAACAGCAGGTGTCAAACAGCCCATACGTCTATAGACCTGTAACTTCAACGTAGTGAGCAGCGCCCCTGGCGAGAAATAAATTATTTTTAGGTCACGTTTCCGTTGTGCGTCGCGTAGCGCCCTTTGAAACGCTCTGGCGTGTGGACAGACGCCGAGCGACACTGACAGAAGCGAGTTTGCGTCCATGAATCGTGCCAAATGCGACATAGACGCCGCTTCACGCCAGCATTACCCGGTCTTGCCTCGCAGACGCTACAGCATCCCCGTAGCCCAGAGAAACAGGCGTATTCCAACACAGCAGCCCAAATGAATGCTCGTTGACATTTTACCTGTCAGGGTTGAATTTCTCGGGCTCCACCCAGTATCTTGGATCGTGGTGCATCAGGCGAACGGGAACTAAAACGTGCGTGTCCTTTGGAATGCGAAAGCCGTTGAATTCGAAGTCCTTCACGCATCTTCTTGTGACGTTTCTGCATGCCAGAGGTATTCGAAACATTCAGTATGCAGTCATAATTCCGGCACCCCTAAGTCTGGAAGCAGCCGGCGCTACGTGCTGGTGGTACCGATCCGACAGCGTCAAAAGCGAACTCACATTGTGTTCGTTAAGCCTTTGTAAGAGTTATGCCATTGCTGAACTAATGATGTATATAGAAGGCACAGTGATTTGCGCTTTTGACACTGTCTGGTTGGTCCCCTTATCTCATAGCCTCGGCTGTGTCCAGAAATAAGGTGAAACGAAGTATGACGTATGTTCCCTAAAGAGAAAAATCTCAGTCGGTTGCAGATATATAAGTAAGACATAGCTACCAAATACCTCCACAAGACTTCCATATTATTCCGAAACTAAAGGTTGGTTCCAAGGTACCAAACGTTTGTTTAACTTTTTATTATTATTATTATTCTTTTTAATGTCCACAGTAGTTGCTTATCTGGGCTCTGTTATATTTGAGGAACCCTTTTTATTTATGCTACCATTATTTTTTCTGCTGAAATATTTTTGAATTGTATCATTTTAAACGCTGGTAAAAGAAGGCTTAACTTCAATTAGGGGACAGTACCCTGGCTGTGCGGGATAGAATCTTGACGATTCCGCAATGACTTGCTTCAAGTACTGCAGGCTGAAGATGTTGTCGTAGCTGAAATTTCCCTGAAAGGATGATTAAAGAAACCAATGGCTTCTTAGGGTTACGAGGCACATTCAATGACACCTAGGATACCCAAGAGATCGAATCATGGCTTCTGACAACCCTCAAGCTACACATCCCCGCAGAAACTTACATAACGGTTGATTCAAACATTTGTGTTCTTTTCAGTTAAGTGCATTGCGTCCTCTTGTATCCGCTTAACACAGTGGCACCATCTATCGGGAAGCCCCGGAAAAGTTCGGACATGTGCATCACTAAACTGAAGAGTTTGCATTGTCTGCAAGGTCGAATGGGAACACTTTACGGCATGGAAACTAACGCTTGTAAGGCATCTTAGACGGCCCGCGAAAATCGGGTTCTGTCGCGCTGCAATTTAGTAAAGTGGTGCAAGCAGGTGGTGGAAGTCTACTGTGAAAATATAAATAAATAAAACTACCTAGTTCAAAACAGAAAAAAAAAAGAAGAGAAATCTGTTCTGGACAATCTACACCGCCACTTCACAGACGATGCACGCGCAGTGAGATGAACTGCCGAAAGATGGCGTACGCCGCGCCAAGGGAGCGCCAGCCACTGATCGCGTTTGCCCGCTCCGCGAATGCGGGCACTGGCGGCCATCTTTTTGGTAGAGTGATATTACCTCTAGCCAAGGTACAGCTGCTGCAGCCACTATCATCCATCCATGGCAGACAGCGTTGTGGCAGTTGTGGTGGCAGGCTGCCATCAAAATAGCGTGGGTGATATTTCGTGCTTGACTGAAATTGTTTGACGAAACACGTTTTTGAAACCCGGCGTGAACGGTAGCCCGATCTTTGAGGACCCGGTGAAAGTTTCACGAAAGCGCAGCACCGGCGAAAAGCAGCACAGTACGAATCGAAAGTCGCATCGAAAGTCGCATCGAAAGCAGACGTCGGTACGGAGTCTGCTTTCGATGCAAGCTGCGCTGCTTTCCCCCGGTGCTGCGCTTTCATAGAACTTTCGCCGGGTCCTCAAAGATGAGGCTAGCGTTCACGCCGGGTTTCAGGAATTTGCTTCGTCGAACAACTTCAATCAAGTACGAAATATCACCCACGGTACAGTGTACATGATCCACGGCTATTTTATGGCAGTCCGCCGCCATTGCGCTGTCCGGTAAATTACTATGATGGCTAGAGATAATATAACTCTGCCAAAAAGATGGCCGACCGTGGCCGCATTCCCATCCATAGGCGAAGCTGGTCAAAAGCGATCCAGCAATTAGACATAGAGATCAGCTTCTCCGGCCGATTTGGGTTATGTTAGCAGACGATCCGCATAGAACCGGAATCGTCCGGCGCTCCCTCCACCAAGCGTACGCCATCTGTCGGAAGCATTTTTCACTACGCGTGCATAGATTGGCCAGAACAAGCAGAACAAGTGGCAGCGTAAATTGCCCACAACAGTATTTGTTTCCTTCTTTTGAACCGGGCAAGTTCATTCTTTTATTTTTTGCACTGTAAACTTCCATTACCCGCTTGCTCCTTTGTAGTAACTTGCAATGGCATACGTTGAGAACCCGATTTTTGTGTGTTGTCTTAAGTGTTGTAAACGGGTTAGTTTACATGCTGTATATGACGAGTGATCGCCTATGACATTGTGATAATTATTTCAAGCCTACGATGGAAAAATGATGCGTAAAAAGACAAGATGATATAGGTTGGGTGTGTTCCGGAGCTAGCGGAAATCTAGGGCCGGTGTGGTAGTGTGCTAATCGGGTTATAATAAAACGCTACGCCCTCGACACAAAATAACGAACCTGCGTGAACCAGTCTTAACTCGCACGTGGTACGAGTCCTACCGAGCGAGATCGAAAACAGAATTGCGTCCTAATGATTCCCCTATGCCACGGACCGCAGGGATGGAACTGTATTTGAAATACACGTATAGGAAGTACGTGTTTAACATAAGTCGAGTTTTTTCGAATGTGGAATTAATAAAAATATAAATGTATATATATATATATATATATATATATATATATATATATATATATATATATATTGAAGAACGTATTTGTCACTCGCACCTAAATGCTGAAAATTTAGTATTTGAAATGCGTGATTTCAAATAATGCCCAAACAGAAGTTTCGGCTCTTTTTTTCGCAATCAAATCCGACATCGGGCGCTCTTCTTTGAGCGAGACATATGCAAAGAGCACGAGATGCGTGCACTTTGAACATATTGGACTTTGAATAGGAAAGAGTACAACAAGGAATACGCGGGATGGGTGTAATTATTAACGTTTTGGTTGAGTGCTTTTGTTTTCTTAATAATCCCGCGACGTGTATTTTTTTCATACAATGAGCCTTTCAAATTAAGCACACACTAAATTAGTGTTTTTCCCTCCGAGATACCGGCCAATCTAATTTTTGGAAACAATTATCTGCGGTTTTGTTTTGGGGGTACTTGATTCTTCGCGTATATATGAACTCCACTGTTTATTTTGGGCCCGCTATTTCTTTTTTATCTCGGTTTACATATAAACGTAAGATGTGAAAAATGGAGAAAAAAATATTTATAAAAATATTGCTGTTGATAAAATACACCTGTTTCGTCTGTATCTCGTATCTAAATAGTTTTCAAAAAATGTAATTGTATTTGTATAATTAAAATAATATTTATGAAAGTATTCGGATGCAGTACTTGATTCCCATCAGCGCTTGGACACGACTGCTTCGTCATTGGGAATCTTGTCCAATCAGCGAGGACACGAATCTCAGCCGAACTGCAACCCTTATGTCCTATCCGAACTAAGAAAATTCAGTCCCACGGCCTTGCTACATAAAGGGTGCTGACTACACACGACAATGACACGTATACAACTCTGCACGTGCATTTTCGCCAACTCCGTGCATGCACATTGGCGTGCACATTTGCTCGTTCCGGTACAAATTGAAAAGCAGTGTTTTTTTTGTTTTTTTACTTCAGGTTGCTGTTTCGAACGTAGAGAACTTGGTAGTATCTGCAAAGCAATTCCAGGGGCTTACGTCTTTCTCGAGGAGCGATTTCACTTCCGCCCTCAGTTTGTCTTGGACGTCTTGATGCTTGGCCAAAAGGTGAGCGGTAAAAGACAGTGCCGAACTGACTGTCTCAAGCCTGGAATAGAAACTGAGTTTAAAGCCCCGTTCACGCGCTTGACTTTGCTTAGAAACGAGCTCTCGTGATCTCTTACGACGATATAATACAACATAAAACAATCTTTCTGTTGTTCTTAACATACACTTAAACTGTAAATCCCAGATAAGCCAATGCTGGCTTGTGTGTGGGAGGTGGCAGGTTCCTCCCCATATTTTATTAGAAATTTTTGAAACTTGCACTAGAGCGTGCCATTGTAAAATTACTGGAGTTCCTATCTCGAGAAATATATAGTTGCACTCTATTCCACTAGATCATTAAAAAGCCGCCATGTATAAGTTATGTTGTATTTTAGCATTACTCACGTCACGTCGTTAACTACGATTCAAGTTATCGAAGCGAACCAATTCCCTAAGAGTGTTTTTTACTCTGTTTCACGTGTTCGACAGTTTTTTTTATGTTTTATTTTGGGAGATTTTATTTTGAGTAATGCATCTTCGGGTAATGCATTAAAAAACTTGGGTGCATGATAACTCGTCGCCTTTACAGATTTCATATAACTAAATGGTTCAATTAATTTTTTATTCGGACTTGAAAAGTCAGTTAAAAGAAAAAAATATCTTTAACACTTTTGTTGAGAAACGCTTGTTAAACATAAATTTTACGCGAATAAAAAACAGTCTTTTTAGAGCAATAATGACGGTGCGAGGACGCGGTTTAGTCGGTAGTCACCTCCTTCCCACATGTTTTCTCCCTCGGCATTTAGAGATCGTGAAGGAGAGGTGATCGGCTTCGCCATCACGTTGAGGTGGAGAGAGTGAATGACTATTCCGTGACGTAATAGAATTTGCGCGCAGAATTTCAAGCAAATCTCGCGACGTCAATATTGTTCAAAATATCTGTTTTTTGGCGTATTTTTTTTTTAACACGCGTGTCCCAACTAGACTGTTAATAAAATGTTTTTCTTTTTAGTTGTCCTTTAACGTTTTTGATTTGGCATTCTCCACTTAATGTTTCTTTGTTGAAAAATAATTTATAAAAATATAGTGCATCTGGTCTCTAATACGCGACGTTCCTAGTTCTTTATGCATGTAGTTTTGCGGATCAGTTCCTTCACTTAGGTAACCCATATTTCGTCCTTTCGTGGATCGGTTATATTCTCAGCTGTAGATATTCTGCACAGTGTCCTTAGATTATTATTTCAGATTGAAGTGTGGACTTTCGCAGTGAATTATATATCGTTTTTTGTTCGCATCGAGGGACGAGATCTTGTACTTTAAATATCTGCACCGGTTGTAGCGAAGGTAACGGGATTCGGAAATCACTTCGCTATATCCGCTATTTCGTTATAACCGCTTTCAGTTATAACGTAGTGGAAAAGGAAATGGGTAATCGTGATCGTTGCGCTGTAGCCGCTATTTCGCTATTACCGACTTCGTTATAACCGGTCTTTACAGTATTCCATTTAATATGTTTGTCTATGTGCGTCCCTAGATTGAAGAGAGGGTTAATCGCGAACCGTGGGGAGCGTTTGATTTTGAATGGCGGATGCCCCCGGCGCACATTTGGTCGGAAGTGCGCATGCGCGGCGTTTTCGAGTGGCGAGGAGGAAAGCAGGCGGAGACGTTGGCAGACGATAGACGCTTTCCGCACCTCCTCAGAGCTCCTAGTGATAACGCGGTCCACAAACCACGTGGCCTCCATCGAGCAGTCGGAAACTCTCTGGAATACAGGTTCTCCAGAGAACACACGGGCACGCTGGCTTTATTTTGACGTGACCCTGCACCTCACAAGAGTGAAGGAGTGTTGTATATCAATAAATTTACGTACTATCTATGAGAAGCTCGTTTATAATGTTGTCGAAAGATTTATCTTTTTCCGATCCAAGAAATATTTAGTAGTCCTCCCCCCCCCCCCCCCCCCTTTTCCCAAAAAAAGAAAAAGGATATACAGGACGAACCATCTATAACGATAACGAGAAAACCTGAAAATACAATCGTTATAACCAGCGGCGTAGACTTTCCATTTTCCCGGGGGGGGGGGGGGGGGGGAGGGGGGGTGCTGCACGCAGACTTGTAATTACAAGTAATCAAATTACTTGTAATTGATTACTTTTTGGAGTAATTTTGTAATAAGTTGATTACTTTTATTAGGCAGTAATCACAAGACTAATCTGATTACTTTTTGAAGTAATAAAATTACTTGTAACCGTTACAATTTGTCCACGGGACACCCCCCCCCCCCCCCCCCCCCCCTTTCCCGGGCACACGCCTTTTTTTTATGAAATGACAAAAATAAAATTTGCTTTCTTTTTTGAACGGAAAAAAGAAAGATTTTTGCGGAGCTGTAGGAAACGAGGTCAATCTCTTTCTATGTACAGTTTCCGTGGAATGTCCGTTTTTTTATTTTTTTTTTTCGAGCTGGGGACTGGGAGTGGGAAGCCCCAGGGAAGCCACAGTGCGTGACAAAGGCCATTCAGGACGAAGTTTGAGGAAGCAGAATGTAGCTTTGTGAGTCCTTCGTTCAAACTAGCCCCCTCACGCACACACACACAGAAATAAAAAAAAAATAAAAAAAATCCTGCTTAGGGTACCTACTCGCAGCCCGTAGGAGAACCAGAACCGAAGAATTCCTAAAGCGGGTGCAAAATAGAACAAAGGCAGTTGAAATATTTCCCCATTTCTCCTACGTGGTCTTTGTGACAAGATATGTTTCGAGTTGAGAAGTGGTCGGGGCGATCTCTTCCGTTAACGGATACTACACATGATCCGTTTCAAATCCTGGAGCAGCTGCTCTTTTCTATAACATGCAAGCTCATCCACATGTGAATAATAAAATGAGCGACGCAAACTTTGAGCGACAACCCTCGCTCAAGCTTACCAAGATCTAGAGCCCCCTCCGCTCTCCCCCCCCCCCCCCCCCCCCCCCCCACACACACACACTGGCGAACGCCCAAATCATTAAACGTCTTCAAACGAATTATATCTTGTGTCCGCATTGTGAAGGTGCAACGACCACGAAGAGGGAGCCAGTTTTTCTTCTTCAATACTTGTGCCAATGTGAAATATAGGTTGGAAGTAGTTCATTGTTATGAGCGCTAAAGATGTGTCTTCACACAATAAAGTAATCGGAAAAGTAACAATTAGTTCTTTAAGTAATGTCCAATTACGTTGCCGTCGAGTAATCAAGTAATCTAATCGAATACTTTTTAGCCAAGAGTAATAGTAATTGTAATCGATTACTTTTTTTTAGTAACGTGTACAAGACTGGCTGCACGTTAACTTTTCGTCAGAACTGGAGATTGAAGCTAAGGAAAGCACGCTGGGATTCCATTTCCCATGTATTTTGTCAATAAAGGCAACGTGGGCGTTATTTTGTTTACATGCCACTACTAGAACCTCGTTACATGGCACGTAAACAGCGTCTCGGTAAGGATCATGGCCCGGGCCCGGGAAGGGGGGGGGGGGGGGGGGGGGGGCTAGGGGATTTTACCAGATGGGGCTAGAGGATTTTACCCGATGCCCCCCGAAGTCTACGCCTATGGTTATAACCGATTATCGTTGTACATATCTAGAATGAATATCCCACGCAAGAAAACGCATGGTCCTCTGCGTCGGTATATCTGGTATCGTTATATGCGAATTGCAATAAATAGAAAAACTGCAAGTGGTCCAGTGCTGCCCGACAGATGGTGCCGGTCTGATCTCTCTCCGTGAGAGAATGCACAAAGTCGCAAAAGCAGTCGCGAGTGTGTGAAACAGCCCCAACGGTAACCTTGCTGGCTGCCCTCAAACTACAATGCTTGACTGACAATGAAGGTGATCAAAGAAAAGACAAAAAGCCATGTGATGTAAATCCACAGTACAGTCAAAGTGATAGCGGCGACATCTCATTGGGAACCTAAATTCGGACTGTTTTTACATAATACAAAAGGAGTGCACACAAAATGACCAAATTATCTGCTAACACGCCTCAGGCATCTTAGAAGAATATTTGAATTGTACATGTATATGCATAACGACACGTTTTTTTTTTTCGGTATGGCCAACGTGACAGTATCGCCCTACGAGGAAACAACCACGCCTCGTGACAGTAGGAAGTGTTAGGGAACCGTTTTCTGCACATTCGATACGGCATACAACGGGCCCTCGGACACGAACCGCGCATGTGCGAGTGTTCTGCGATAGCGCATGCGCAGCTCGTACCTGAGGGCCCATCGTACCTTACCCGATGTGTCAAAGACGGCTCCCTAAAACTCCCTACTGTTTGCGGACTGTCTTTTGTCTTATGTACATTAGTGTGACCCCGGATGTGTCCTGTATGCCCCTTATAACGCGGAGGTACCGTCGCCTACGCTGGAAGGATGAGACACTCGTCTGTAACCACAAAACAGCGTCATGTCGCTTGTCACTGTGACCTTCACGTGACTTTACAGATTCGCTTGACGATGTCGACGGACAGCATTATTTCTAGGGGAGAAAGAGGCCCCACATCACCTATCGCAGTAAAACCAAAACAAAAATGATAAATCATATTTGCTTACAGCTTAAGAGACGGAGGGTTTGGCTTATCGCGTTCATGCTCCTTGCTCCGCGATTCATTTATTGGGGTTCTTATCGGATACTGCTACACTTTGATTGGCTGTGGGACGATACTAAAAAGCTCGGGATCGGCCACATCCTGCGCTCCTTAAGCTGTAAGTCTAGCTAAAGAAAATATACTCTTACATTAAACGTTCTTTACAGGGCGTATCTTGGTAACGCGTCACTTATTAGCACGTTGGGTATGATATTTTACGCTGGACCTCACCCTGAAATCATAAACAGTTCGGCGTTGGCGACTGTTGCGAACGGTGTCATCCTGGGCACCCTGCGTGGCGTGTGAGCTGCAACAAAATGCAAACTGAATCAGTGTACGTGTGAGACGACCCTGAGATGTAAAATGCAATGCTCAACGAGTCAACGTAGCATTATACAATAATATATAGGCCGCTAGAACTGGCTGGAATCTCGGTATTGCGGTGTATTAGTAGTGTCAAGTCGTCAAGGACGATATTTTTATTTCTTTATCATTTTATTGTTTTCATGTAATGATAAGACCTGAACTACAGTAACTGGAAATGAAATGTGTACTTTATGTTTAATTTTCAAGCCTTGCTTTAATCATTTTTATCATACAAGTTTAGAAAAAAAAAAAAAAAAAAAGCTCTGAACATAAGTGGTCTGGCTGAAGCTAGCCAAAACCAAAGAAAATGGCACAGACAGAATGACGAGATGTTCAATATTCCACTATTTTATTGGTTAGAAGGGAGAGAGTGGTTATTGATTTCTTTTTTTGCATTAAGGTCAAGGAAGGAGAAAGGGAAAGAGAGCTGGCAAAATTGAGCCAGGAGCTTGTGTCACGTGGCTTGTTGCCACCCCGTGACTATAGTGTCGTGTGAATAGATGTGCTGGATGAGACGCTAATCGCACCTGTCGAGGACATGCTTTACGCACCGTACCCAAAGTTAAATCAACGAAAATACTTTGTGTAATGCTAAATCGTAATAATAAATATCTCTATCTCAAAGTGTTGCCTCAATGGTTTCCTGATCAACATAAAATTCGGAAAATACTTGTGCTCCAGTACTCAATACATTTATTTCTTGATGGATCAAAAAAAAAATACTGCTTCTTTTTGGAGGTGATACATGCATTACTGAAATAAATCCCTGGCATCTAGTTTCCCGCAAACACTTGGGGCACCAATTGCTGCAACCTAAAGAGCATGCACGAACGCATGGCGAAGCTGTGCATATTGTTTAATGATTTAATCAATCAATTTTTCAGAATAAACACAGAACACACTGCACAGACGCATATGGATGCGTATCCTTTTTGGCTTGGCTTGGATCTATTCAAAACGTGCAAATGTTTAGACCTAGAACAAAACAAAACAAAACACTGTCTGCGCTGAGTCATTGAGCGTCATGTTTCAGTGTGCTCGGTGCAACAAATCAGATTGCTATTTTAAGTCATGACATATTTGTAGCACCAAATTATACAAAAAAAAAAAAAAAAAAAACACGGACAGTCCACGTTTGCAAGGAGCCGCGCTTTGAGAGCTAGTCTGACCACCATGAATGGAAAACGCTTTTTTTGGGCGCCAGTCTGGAAACCATGGGTACGCCTTGAGAATGCTTGACTATCAGACGATCTACCCACACCAGCAGCAATATTTCGGCGCCCAGAGGCCGTACTTGCAACTATCTATACGAAGGAAGATTTGGACAAGACTGGGCGTCCTGTTCAGTTTTCCTTTTCTATTGTTCGTACATTTTGCAGTATTATCCAGTGATGAGTCATCAACAAGCCCAACTCGCCATCTGAATATTTTTCACCTCGTCATCCTCCGACCTGGTTAGATGGGAGAGAAAGACTGCAGCAATTGACTCTCTCAACACTTGGTTGCGAGAAAGTGGATTTCTTAGAGTGTATGCTTTATGACGTCACTTTAACACGAGCCAGCTTCTAGGCTCGGCAGATATATTCTACATTTTGTCGTGGCTGTCTCCGGAACTACTGCATCCCTCAATTTATAATCAAGCGCAAGTAGCCCATTTCAATCTGTTGGTTATATTTATCCGGTCCACAACACAGTGCCACCAAGCGTGTTTTCTGTCGCGAGGTCGAAACAACCTGGTTTCAAGAAATCAGCGTTTTCGTTCGTCCCAAACTAAGCTTAGAGTATCTGCACTTTATGCTCTGATTACCTTGCGGACTCCTCCATTTTTACGGTTGTTGCAAAAATCTAAAAATTTTGGATAAGAAAAAAAAAAAAAAAGCATTCTCCCGAGTTTATGAACACGGTGTCGGGAGGATCAGGCAATATTGTCGCGGGTGAAAGAGAGTTCAAATACGTAAAACTAAATGTAAATGTTTAATTGACGCACTTGTCTCAGAAACAAAAGAAGGAACGAGCGTCGAGAAAGCAGCAGCGAGCGTCGTGGTGTCGGCGTGACAGCTGGCTAGCACGAGAGTCTCTGATTGGGCAAGGCCACGCTGGGCTCCTTAACTATACTACACTCAGTATCTTTAACATTCGGCCTGGAATGGTAGAACGTCGAACTAGGGCGAGACTGACTCAGCAAGGTCATGCTGACCTCTTTATCTGGTACTCTCGGAATCTCGAACATTCCTCCATGAATGTTCGGCGTTCCTTACATTGGGTAGAAGGGTAAACGCGAATCTTCTTAAAGCAGGGGGTAAAGTTCTCTCTCGGCCCTCCACTTGACAATATCGTTTTTGTTTTCTGTCGCGGACGGTGTTAACATTCCTAGAGGCGGAAAACAGTTTCCTGAGATTTCAGATGAGACTTCAGATAGCAACAAGTTTAAGCACCAAGATGCTGAAGTGTAGTTACTCTGAAGCGTAGCGTATTTATTGACTCTATTCTGGACCAACTGCAGATGGCATCAGGGTTCCCTGAAAGCGGTAATTTTAAGCGTAATTATTTTTTAAGTAAAAAGAAACGCCATTTTTTTTGGCTTATTTCTAGCCAGTTATTTTAATTTAGGAGACAAAAATATTCTAGAAAACGCCCTTCGCAATTCAATCATTTTTTTAAAGGGATTCATGTTTCCTGTAGCGACTGCTATTTGATTGTTTTGGCCACTGCCTGATTGGTTCATGTCCTTGTTTTTGAGAGTAGTCACAAGAAAGCGACGTAAAGATATGGTCACTGAAAACTCGAGAAACGCAGGGTGTGGTCTACATTCATTATCATCACCCTTCTTCCTTCGTGATTGGTTCCTCGGCGTTGTTCTCGGCTCATGCTACAATCTGATTGGCTGCGGAGCGAAAATAAGATGTCCGTGATTGGTCACACCCTACGCTTCTTAAGCTGTGCAGTGGCTACAAATGGCGAAGAATTCTTTGGCCTACGTAGATTAAACGTGTCGCACTTCTGCACCCTGGTTACCCGGTGTAATACACGTCAAAATGTATACTTGCAATTTGCCGAGGGATTACCACCATTCGAATGATTCGTGCGATTAGTCTTCGTCTCTGCGTCGCTTTGTTCTTCGGCGTTCAGCAACAGCTGAAGCAAATCATCATTCGCTGTCTGTGGAATAAGCACACGTTAGGAATAAGGACTTCCTTCGAGGTCTCTTCGATATACTTATTACAAAACCCCATCGGGCAACATTGGTGGTCGCCATTTATTGGGCACGAGGGCTATATGACCAGATCCGAGTCCGTGCCGAATGCAGACGCAAAAAAAAAAACACTCGTGTCCAATGCATGCTCAGAGTACATGCCCAAACAATGGAGGACTCGGCTACTTGGTGCGGCACCTCCTAGATGGCGCGCACTTTTGGAAAAGGTTAGAGTTCCTGTATAGGCTCCCTAGGAGAGCCAGAGTTGCGCGTTCATCCCCGTAGCGCCGTCTTTCCCGCACGACATGTTGATCCTGCTCTTCACGTGACTGAATTCGGCGAATAGCGGCGCGGCGGCACGTAAAAAACAGACGCGCAACTCTGGCTCCAGTAGGAAGCCTATACAGGAACTCTAGAAAAGGTCAATTAGGATTGCCTCGATGAGGACCTCGCAGCATGTATCGTTCTCGTGCTCCGTCGATTGGCATTTTAGTGCGCCATATATAGGTTTAGCGTTTGTAAACCCGAATCATATTTTTTAGTTTTGTTTTATTTTTGTGGTTTTTGGGGTGCTCTTTCTTCGTCATAATCATGGTGCCTTTTCTTTCCTCGAAGTAATTTTGACCAGTTGTCGGCTTCATAACCGATTAAGCAACCGTGATACCAACAGACGTGCAACTCTTCAGGCGGGTTCACACAGTGACGACTGCTTACGACCGTGTGTGTCTTCTAACCACTTAAAATTTCTTACGAGTTAGCACACTAGCGCCATCTATAGGATAACCGTGGAACACTTGCAGTTACTATATATCGCCTATTTTTTCGTGCATCGTTTTTTTTTTGCTTGGCTTGAAAAAAGTTTGAGAATGTTATAAACGACCTATACTTATGCGGAGGGCAGGTTTGTCTGTTCTTGCACAGGGGTGACGATAATGTCAGACCGCCGAGGTTTTACTGGCTGATTGAAACAAATAGAGGGTAGACCTCGAGGCATTTAGCGTTGAGGTCTACTCACTATCATTTCAGTCAAAGCGAAAGAGAGCTCGGCGTCGTACTGACCTCACCGCAACCCCTGGGCAAGAAGCAAACGACTTGCTCTCCACATAGATTTCATCTCGCAAAGATTGCAAAGAACCTTCGCTCTAGTTAAATGCAGTTCTAGGGTCAGCTCATCACCTCATAGATGGCGCAACCGTGCCAGTGTGTTCTCTCGTTCCTAGAATTCACAAGAGCTCGGTCCTAAGCAAACGGAAGTGTGTGAACGGGCCTTTAGACTTTTTCATCACACACACCGTCGGAATGCTAAAAAGTAAAAAAATGAAGATATTAGGCTGAGGTTTCTCGCGTAAACTTGCTTTAAGACGTGTAACGCGTAAACTTGCTTTAAGAGAAACCGAATGGGGGGTTCCTAAATTAATACAACCTATAAGACTAGCCTTGCTCATCCGCCCCCTCCGCTCCCCCCCCCCCCCCCCCAGAAAAAAGAAAGAATATAGACAAAAAACCTTTCAGTTTATCTACTCTGGTGAAGAAGGAATACCAGCGAGGGCCGGCCGCAATTCGGCAAGCCAGAGTGGAAAGGCTGGAAAGGTTGCGCCATCTATGAGCGATGGCGACAATCAGACGACCGGCAAGCCGGTTGTCTGGTGACCGCCGTCGCTCATAGATGGCGATAGCTGTCCAGAGCCTCGTGTCATCATTTGTTTGCTGACGGACACGATACTGGGAAAACAAGCCCTTAAC